AGCGCGGCGCTATGGCGCATGCTGGGGTGGATGCCGTCCTGATTGCTGGCTAGGATACCAAGTGACGCTCGGTATATAACACTTGAGCGCCCTAGCCTTTTGGTTCAGTCAAACTCAAAGTCCAACAGAGCAGCAACTACCAGCCTTACATCAAGACCCTCAATCACCAACACAATCAAAAGCACCCATCGGAACATTCTACCTACCATCAGCCAACATGTATCAAAACCTTGGACGCACACCCAACTGGGACACTTGCTTCAATCAAGTCCAACTCACCGAGGAGAACCTGCAATTACACACCGCTACACACAAGAAGGTATGTCTTGACTTGAGAATAGTTCATCGGTTCACTGCTAACAATGTCAAAGGTTGACAGCGCCTGTCAAATGGATGACCAACTCTACTACCGATACGACGGTGACTTTGCTGAGTCAGACGACGGCAACGTGGAAACCCAAAGAGAGACCATCGCCTTGAGGAGAGCCGCATCACTGGAGGTGTTGAAGGCGTACGGTGGATGCTTCGCTTCCGGCTTCCTCGCTCTTCAAGAACCCCTCCCATCACGACCAAAGTCGAAGCTCAGGTCATACGAGAGCGCCTACAGTGTCGACATTTCAAGAACAGCCTCAAACGCCACATCACTCGAGACGGCCTCAACCAGCTGGAGCAGCAACATGGACACGCCACGACCAGATTCATCAACCCTGGGCGTACCCGTGCAAGAAATGGAGAAGGGATCAAAGTGGAGCTGGAGAGGCATGAGGAGGAGCCGAAAGCAGGCAGCGAAGAAGCTCGAAGTTTAAAAAAAGTCATCTATTACCGTCGACCAGCTGGTCTTGCATTTTATTTGTCTGCTTGCGTGTTAGCGAAGGCGTTGGGGTTTACGGATACCATTCAAGACTGCGCAACCATCTCTTTTGTCACGATGCCAATGGCCGAACTACTCAAAATTCTACGAAAAAGCACGACTTTGTAGTGTATAATGTATATATCAAAACAAGACAGACTCGACGAGTCGTTTGACAACCCCCACACTGTCCTACCTTGCAACTTGTGTGCTTGTGCAGTGCTTCTGGTAGGTATCCGAAGACCGGCCGACGTGCAGACGGCCGAGCTTGGAGAGCCGGAAGTGAACATCAGACGGAAAAAGTCGCATGTTCGATACGATTCGGAGACGGCCATCAGCAGATGCAGCGCAGGTCGACGGCATCTAGATCTGCTGACCTGATGGGGTAATATTAGGCGACAGCCTCAGCTGGCTCAAGAGCTACTGTATGAGTAAGAGGGAGAGTAAGTTTGTTCGGAGGTCACGATGGAGTTGCGGGTGTAGTGCGGACTGCTGGCTCCCGTGGGGGAAGGCCTGCAGGCTGACGGACACGCAGCGCCTGACCCCGGCAACCGAGCCAGTCACAGCAGGCGCGTCGCTCGAGGAAGGTGCGTCCGGAGTTAGGCAGGAGAAAAACAAAGGCGGCGCACACAAGGCATTGAAGCTCAACAGATGAGATTCGAAACACGCGGATTGTCGAGCGAGGACATCGTGCCATGACGTACCGGTGGGGCACTATGATGAAGCGGCAGAGGTCGGCGCGCGCGTGCAAGTCGCGACGGTGATGAGGAAGACGAAGTACCCCAGGGGTTCAGCGCAGCACGGGGCCTTTTGGCAGTCTTCGCTCAGCATCATCATGCCGCCTGGCTGTGGCATTGATAGCAGTCACGCCGCCTGCGTCTGGCACGATGCAGCTGCTTCACCGCCTGGTCTGTCATTGCCTATCGTGATAGCAGACCCACCACTGACGCCTGCTGCTATGCCCTTCTGCTGCCATCGGCGGACCTGCCGGCCTTGCAGCGCTCAAAACTGCTACCTTCGCCCGTTGCATATCCATCTTTTCTCTCCAGTCCTACGCTGCACCCGCCACCTAGACTAGCACTACCAGCATATCGTCGTGTGACCGCCGCCCGCCGCTCCCTAGATTCTGAAGCATCTTGATACAAAGGTGCCGCCCCACCCCCACCCTCGCCGTCAACCACGCTCGTAGCTAACGCTGGCCAGTACCTACGCCATACATAGCACATCTTCACCACCACAACACCCACTACCACCACACCCGTTGCCTGGTGTCTTCGCCCCACCGCCCCCGTAGCATGAGCTCGCAATCTTCCAAGCCCCGCCGAACCTCGACTGTTCTCGACCCCTACGCTGCACCGCACGTCTACTATGGCGAGAGTCACTCGAAGAAGCATGCCAGAGCCCGGACCTACTCAGCCGTGAGTACCGCGCTCCTTCCTCCTTCTAATGACATGACGGGGCTAATTGAATGCAGAACGTAGACAATTCCACGCGTAATGCTCCATTGGCCGAGGGCGCCATTGCTGGTCGTCGCATCAGTCACGGTACGTGCCTTCCACCGCACCCACCCCGCGCCATTGGCTGACAAAACCAGATGAAATCTCCCTGCAGCCTCGCCGCTTCAAGATAAACGTCGAAGAGACGCTCCACCAGCTCCTCACCCGCGAAGATTCGGACGGCAACTACCAGATCACAATCGACGACAAGGGTCCCAAGGTACGATGCTCTGCAGTTACACAGAGAACGTGGCTGACAATACACAGACCATTTCTCTTGGTACGCTCGGCTCCAATGCCTTCAAGAAGCACGACGTCCGCGGCACCTACATGCTCTCGAACCTGCTCCAGGAGCTCACCCTCGCCAAAGACTACGGCCGCAAGACCATTGTGCTCGACGAATCGCGATTGAACGAGAATCCCGTAAACCGCCTGAGCCGCCTCATCCAGTTCTCCTTCTGGGACGGTCTCACCCGCCGCATCGATGGCTCCAACATTGCGAAGGTCGGTGTCGACCCCAAGGACTGGACAGACGACCAACGGCCGCGTATATACATCCCTCAGGGCGCGCCTGAGCAGCACGAGTACTACACCCGCATTGCTCGTGAACACCCCGAAATGCGTCTCGACGTCATCTGGCTGGACAAGGACTGCGACAACGACGACTACGTGCGCGACTTGAACAAGGCACCCGGCCTGCTCGCCATTGCCATGGAGGAATGGATAGATCCAGAGACGAAGAAGAAGGACCTGAGAGGCCTGCCTTTCGTCGTCCCTGGTGGCCGTTTCAACGAGCTTTACGGATGGGACAGCTACATGGAGTCGCTTGGTCTCCTCGTCAACGATCGCGTCGACCTGGTCAAGTCCATGGTCATTCACTTCTGCTTCTGCATCAAGCACTACAACAAGATTCTCAACGCAAACCGTACATACTACCTCTGCCGATCCCAGCCACCCTTCCTCACCGACATGACTCTGCGATGCTACGAACGCATCAAGCACGAGCCTGACTCCAAAGAATTCCTGCGCAACGGTATCCTTGCTGCCATCAAGGAATACCACTCGGTTTGGATGAGCGCGCCGCGCTTAGACCCTGTCACTGGACTCACCAGGTACCGACCTGGCGGAAGAGGTGTGCCACCCGAGACGGAGGCCAGCCATTTCCACCACGTCTTGATGCCGTACGCCGACAAGCATGGTATGACATTTAAGGAATTCGTCGATGCATACAACAACGGAAAGGTCAACGAGCCTGAGCTTGATGATTATTTCCTCCATGACCGCGCTGTGCGTGAATCCGGACACGACACCTCCTACCGTCTGGAGAGGGTCGCAGCAGACCTCGCCGTCGTTGACGTCAATGCGCTACTCTACAAGTACGAAGTCGACATTGGTCGATGCATTCGCAACCATTTCAACGACAAGCTCGAAATTCCAGAGGGATTCCGCACTGGCGACATGAAGCCTGGTCATATTGAGACTTCTTCCACATGGGAGCGCCGCGCTAGAAAACGCCGCGTTAATGTGGACAAGTATCTCTGGGACGAGGAGGCAGGCATGTACTTCGATTATAACACTGTCAAGCAAGAACGCACCGGTTACGAGAGTGCCACTACTTTCTGGCCCATGTGGTCCGGTCTCGCCACTCCCCGTCAAGCTAGCATTCTTGTCGAGAAGGCTTTGCCTAAGCTGGAAGCCTTCGGAGGACTTGTTTCGGGTACAGAGAAGTCGCGCGGCAAAACTGGCCTTGACCGCCCCAACCGTCAGTGGGATTATCCATTCGGTTGGGCGCCGCAGCAGATGCTTGCCTGGGTCGGTATGCAGCGATACGGTTACGATGCAGAAGCCCAGCGTCTGGCCTACCGCTGGCTCTTCATGGTCACTAAGGCATTTGTTGACTTCAACGGCGTTGTCGTTGAGAAGTACGATGTCACAAGGAAGATTGATCCTCACAAGGTTGAGGCCGAATACGGTAACCAAGGCAGCGACTTCAAGGGTGTTCCTCGCGAAGGGTATGTTTCTTATCACATCATTTTACTAGTCCATGGCTAACATGTCACAGCTTCGGATGGGTCAACGCAAGTTACATCTACGGTCTCACGCTCCTCAGCGCACATCAGCGTCGTGCCCTCGGTGCTTTGACCGATTGGGACAGCTACGCCAAAGCCATGGAGGACCTTGGCATGATGTAAAACGACTCTCGCTTACTTTGTCACGACTTCACGAGATGCATCTGCATCAGATGTTGGGTCTGCTTCGTTGTTCGTATTAGAGGCGCAGTGGAAAATGAACCTGGGTTGCGTTCATGAGGTTTGTCAGCGAGTCTGTATAGGAATGGGATGGACATATCAGCACAGCACGTGTATTCGTTGCAGGAGGTGGAATTGATGGGACTTTTCGGTACGGTACCAAGAGGTGAACTCGGCATGGTTGCTTAAGCTATACCTATGATCAAATGAAACACATCAATAACTCTCCATTGTCTCGCTTAGCTTTACCAGTAGGGTTTCATTTCATTTCATGTCTGCGTGAGGATTACAGTACTCAACAGGAAATGATTCGAGGCCCCCATTTGCATCGTCTAGCTTCCCCATCTAGACATTGTGTGGGTCAATGTACTTGTCGAGCAACTCATCCAATGCCTTGCTATGCGCCTAGCTCTCCTTGCGTTCCTCAAGCTTGGCCTTATACTCCTTTCCCGACGCCTCGAGCTCACTGATCCTGTTCTCTTGCTCTTTGTTCTTGGCCTCGAGCTGCTTAGTCTCTTCTGCCGACTTGTACAGACCCTGCAATTGCAACATTCCTTGCATTTGGTTGATTTTCATCTCTTGGGCTTCCTTCTGAATCGCAACCGGGTCCCTCTGCTTCAGGACGTTGAGTATTGCGTCGGAGTTAGCTTTAGTGATTTCAAGGTATAGTTTCCAGAGGAAGTCGTAGTTCGCGGCGAGTTCGTCGGGCGTCCAGGAGGGGTTACGCTCGCCGAGGGGTGGTGGGTTGGTGTCGGTAGTGATGGAAGACTTGAAGGATGGTGGGGGATCAGATGACATGGTGGATGGTGGATGGTGGTTATTGAGATGTACGCTGATAGAGGGGCCGGCTGCCTTGTTTATGTAGTCGACGTGTCGTATGCGATACTCCGGCAAACGAAGTACGTGGTTGAGTATACACGAAATGGAGCAAACTATGAGCAATCTATTTGGAGAAGACGAGGTCACTAGAGCATTATACACGTCCCCGATCTCAGCGTGAACCCCATACCCTCTATTTTCTCCCTTTCCTTCATCGTGTCTATGTACCTTCACTCAGGCGGCCCATCACACAAGGGCGGCGAAGCACTAGGTTCCTTAGGCGGAACCTCCCTCTTCCCAGCCACCCTCTCCGCCTTGACAAAAACCGGTATAACACCCCCCGTCTCAAGCGCAAACGTCCTGTGCCCAAGCACCTCCAGCATACTGCCAATCGCCCCCGAGTGACTAGTAAAACTCAACCACACATTGTCGTCGGTGGCGAAAACATCGTCCAGAAAGGTGGCTAGGCGGTACCGTCTTGCGGATCTTGGTTCCCGGTATCCAGCCTCCCAGAGTAGGTCTTCGTTTGAGAATCCGGGTTCGAAAGTTAGAGGTGGATCCGTGAAAGTGGCTTTGATGTACGCGGCTGTGCTGCGGCGGTCGCATGTGTGTACGCCGAGGGCTTCGCGGACGAGCTCTTTGATGAAGGGTTTGTAAGGGCGCGACTCAGGAAGCGGGAGGGACTTGAAACTCAGGTTGGCTGTTTCGATTGTACGGGTTAAGGGCGAGACGTAGTAGGTTTGTGGGGGTGGGATGCCGAGGGATAGTTGTTCGGCCCATAGCTTGTTCACAGCGAGAGCTTGGTCTTGGCCTACAGTGGTGAGGTTTGCATCCGCCCAGGTTATGCCGTCGAAGCCGTCGAGGGCGGCGTAGTAGCACTTGGTGTTTGCGTTAGCATTATGTCTCCTTGATGACATATATCTGGAGAGGAATGATTCACGAAAAGAGAAAGGGTTGTAAGGCGGATTAAACTTACGTCCCAAGCTTTTGTCCCGTACTTTGTCTCTGCAACGTTATGCCAACCCTGACCATGGCGACCCAGAAAGAGTACTTTGTAACTCTCACCCTCTTTCTTCGCAGCTTCCAAACTGGCCACGTACTTCTCAAGACGCCTCCATTGCTTTTCTTCGCTGTCGTCTTCTCCCGGGTAGGAACGGTCGATGAGACCGAAGTTTTGCGTCTTCTAGTAGGAATGTCAGCCAGCTACCTCAGATCCCGATTTGAGGGAACGTGAATGAAGGGATGGATTGACTCAATCGCGCAGGTACGTAGTTGCGTGTGAAGCTTGGAGGACAAGGAATTGAACGTACGAAATCGAAACTCTTGTCATCAGTCTCATCCTCGCTCTGCATGAAAACGCCCTTTTGCACCGTGTACTTGAAGTGGTAGTCCAACGCCGGCTCTGCCGGGACAGGCACCGTAGAAGTGTGATTTGTCGTACCCATGCTGAAGTAAAACAAGAAGACGAGGAGGATAGAGAGAAAGACAATTGGTCTGGGAGAGGTTAGCGCATGCACCCTTGTGGAAAAGTGCGCAGGTGAAGTTGGAAGTCGCAGTAGGGCTGAAATGGGCAGGTTGTTTACATGGGGATGCCGACACCACAAATTCTTATTTTGTGCGAGTATGAGGGTATGAGCATAATATGGATGGGCTTCACGGGATCATGTTGATGCTGTGTTGCGAATGTAGGCGGCGGGCTGTCGATTGTAACGGTGAGTCGCTAGCTAGCACGAACCAATCATGTACTTGGGCCACATCACGATACATATGTCGGTGCACTCAAATCTGTCTAGCATCGGGGTCTAAGGGGTGGAGATTCGCTCGCCGCATACAAGGATACAACTGAGAGACTTAGTGTGATGCTGCGCATCACGTAGCTTCGATGACGTCAATTGCATGTTCGGAGGCAACGTATTGCTTGCGCGTAGATCGTAGTTTTACCTAGTTTCTACAGCTGCTCAATGAGACTAAGCTACAAAGCCCGCGCAGTACAGGCTAGACCGTAGCTATCGTACGCTGTCCACCATTCTGGTATTCTACCGTGATGTCCATCAAACGCCCATCCCAAGCCCGCTAATTCAGAAGAGACTTATCGCAGCCGAAGCTGCCTTTTGAAGCGGTAATCATCGCGTTATCACAGCCTGACCGTGTGTTTGCGCCCAGTCTGCGACCCTAGCAATGACCCGCTCATTTCTTCTTGGGGAACTTGGGCTGCCCAATCTTGTCACCCCGTAGGATGACGTTGAGCACGCGCTCCATGTTTCCTAGCAGCTTCTGGTCTGGTGTTGCTGTGCCGCGCTCAAAGTCTGCGATGATGGTGGGTGTGCTGTTGCACTTTGTAGCCAGGTCCTTTTGCGTCATAGTTGTGCCCTTGTCGTTCTTTGCCTCGGAGCGCGCCTTAGCGATGGCTTGGCCGACGACGATACCAACGGTCTTGGGTTTGACGATGTCATCGGAACGGTCGACTTTGGTGAGGCGCTGGCCTTCTGACGAAGCTCCCTGTGGCTGGTCGGTTAGTATTGTTTTGAGTGTACTTTTGGGAATCACGAAGAACGAAGTTGTTAAGCTAAGTTGGACGTGTAAGAAGTACTCACGGCGTTGGCAGAAGCGAACTTCTTCTCTGTGGCGACGATACCGCCGCTACGTTGGGCAGCGTTCAGAGCTGACTTGCCCTTGACTACGGTTTCGCGGGGTCCGGCGGCGCCACCACGAGTGCGGCTACCGATCTTGGTAACGGAGTTCCAGTCGTCAGACATCTTGAATGTGGTGTTGAGAAGTAGAGGGGCTGGAGTTGTGGTTGTCGTGTGCGGAAGGCTGAGTTGGGCGCAGATGTGGGGTGCTGTCCTTCTGAGATGGGTGTTTGTTCGTCGATGGATTTGTCAGTCGGCGAACGTGGAGGTAAGGAAATGTGACGTGGAGGTGAAGGGCAATGTAGTAGAGAGGATTGCGCTTTTGCTTATGTAGCGGCCCAAAGAGCAATATGTGACCGCGATGAGTCGGAGCGGCAGGTGAGGTCACCGCCACGCGCTAAACTCGCTTAGGACAGGGTCTCTCGAAGCTTCCACGATCGCTTCAGCCCTTCAATGTTCTTCCGCCCTTCTCTTCTTTCATCGAACAATCACTACATTCAACGTTCGTTTACGCTGGCTAATACGAGCGCACTCATTGTGTGTCACAGCTCATTGTTGCTAGCTACTAGTCCTTCAAGTCAGCCGCTGTGTTCGGATCATAGGTCGTTGACAAATATTTTTCTTTCGCGTCTCACATTGCGCTCGAAGGAGTGAGCAGCATCGACGCGTCCTTATCCTATGGTACTTTGTGTACCTACAACCTCTTCAGTATACGTCGTCCTTCCTTCTCGATGATGGACTCGTTTGTCAAAAGCAGGAAGATCAGCTACCAACCCGTTCCAAGCCCTTTGCTTGTACTTTTGACCGAATGCTTGGGTGTCTGCTCCTCATGGGCAGGCGCTGGTGCTTGGGGCGGGACATATCTACATTACAATGGAATTGTGCATCAGAACATTGCTTGAAGTTTTCATTGATGAGGTGCATGTGCTCGGACGCTTAGATAAAGTGTCTATATGTGCCCTGATCGCTCATGAACTTTTGACAAAGGCTCGTCTAATCTTGACAAGCACCCAACCCGACCGCCGGAACGCCATTGCATGCATGCAGCCATATCGAACCATATCAACCATTCTTCGTGAGGTCATACTATTACAAGTTCGACTGCGACTGCGCGACCTCCCGCTCAACCTCGTACATGAAGTCAAAGTATGGCTTGTCGAAGTGGTGCACACGCACGTAACCGTCCTCTCCTCCACTGCAGTAGCTGGTTCCTTGTGGGTGTACGGCGACGTAGTTGAGGGGACCGAAGTGACCACGCACACGACCAATCTCCTCCATGAAAATCTTGTGGTAGAAACGGGCCTCGAATTTTCCTTGACGTGCCGAGGTTGTGGTGACATCCATGGCTGCTTGTCCTCCACCAAGAATAACGTAGTCCTTTACGGGTGTGATCGCGGCGGAGTTGAGGGGTGTGTCGGCAACGTATGATTTGAGGACGTTGAGCTCTTCGACATCGACGAGCTTCGCGGTCTTATCTTTGCTGGCGGTTATGAAGTAGGTTCGGTCGGGAGCCCATTGGATGTCGGCTGCGCACTGTTAGCTTCCATCCAAGCCAAAGACTTGTGCACGGTACTCACTGATTTGCATGTCCGGTTCATGAACGTCGTAGTTGGAGCTGAGCAGCTCTCCAGTCTTGCCATCCCACTGGGTTATTGAGCCGTCCTCGTGTCCACTGATGATGTATTTTGCGAGGTATGAGAAGCCAGCAACTGTCGCCTTGGACTCGTCGCATACGATCCTGAGCAGCTGCTCGTCCGACTGTTGCGCTTCCGGGTCGGGGTTGATGGGGTAGACGCAGATGGTGGAGAGATGTCCTGATCGCTTCTCGGTGACACCAAGAAGCTGTCTGCCGTCTGGCGAGAACTCGCAGCGCTTGATACTGGTGTTGAATTCCCAGGTGTGGAGAAGCTTGCCTGTCTGCACATGCCATAACCTCATGGTGTTGTCTGCTCCACCGGTAGCCAGTAGCTCAGAGGATGGGTTCACATCGACCGTCCATAGCGCTCCCTGATGTCCGTGGTATGTTCCGATTCGCTCGCCGTTGTGTGAGTCTGCATCGCATCAGCTTCTATTCGCATCCCTCTTGTACAGGTTGTTTACTAACACCAGGCGCAAACGACATGGTCCTACAAAAGTCAGTTTCCGCGCATCAGAGAACCGGGAGAAAGACCTACCTTGGATACGGAGAAAATGATATCTCCATCTGCGTTGTACTGTATGCCGTTAGTTTCCTCGTCCTTCATCCTACGCACGGCGCATGCGAACCTTGACTTGCGTGAGCGCACGCTCGTGGCCGGAGAGAAGAATGGGCCTCATGTTTGTGATGGGTGTGTGGAGGCGGGGTGGTGTGTCGGCTTATATGTGGCGGGCGGCGTCTCGAAATTTGGGTGACTCTTGTGCATATCGACGTTCAGCGGGCGAAGTGGGCTGCTTGGCGCTAGCCGACTAGCGCCTTTGTCCCGCAACCATAGATGAACGCCGTGCTGAACATCATCTCTCCGCATTGACTCAGCAGTTCATTGCGAAAGCTAGTGACTATACACACTGGGTTAGACACTATTCGGGACTGTACCTGGCTCAACGATGCTTCCTGAGGTGAGTCACAGCAGATTAGCTTTCTTTTCGAGCAGCCACACATCACCAAGGGGTAGGCTGTGTTGCGTACCAGGAAGAAGCTTGTGAGTCACAGATCAATCAGTTCGTAAGTTGGTAGTATGCTTTCGTTTCTTAGTGATTAATCTGGTAAGCTGGCAAATCTGATTCAGGTAATTTTCTTCATTTCTTACACCATGTGCGAGATGAGGGCGGGCGTGTTCTCCCGCGGCTGCAATTTTGTCAAGCTTTCATGTGCTCAAACACCGCATTAGTTCTGTTGAACGAAGTACCTGAATTTGGCACCGAGTATCTAGACCAAGGCCAGTCGAAAGCCTCGGAGGTGTTTACATATCGCAGATCACTATCTTACCGGATGATACCAGTCACTGATTGACTGTCGGACCCCATCTCAAGGGGAAACCGAACACCGTGAAGCCTACATCAACGCTGTCTTTTCTTACTCGCCTGTCGTGGGCCTATTGTAGGCTGCACGCTGCAAGGCTGTTCAGCACTTTCTTTGCATGAAGTGGCGGGTTCAGCCGCATGTGTGTAGTCCAGTTTCTCTCCTCTGTCTATTTTGGCACTCTCACACTCTTAACTACCACTTTTCACTTTCACCGAATATGACTTTGTCGCGCTTTCCGTTTGTTGCGAGCGCAAATCTTGGCGCAAACGCGCTGCTCCTTCCACCTCGCGGTTGGCAAGCCCACAATACTCCAGCGCGACTTCCCAAATACGCCAAGTTCGAATCGCGGATCTCGCGACCTCCTCATACAGGAAGGGGAACTGAACAGGTTTGCAGACTACATTAACATGAAAACAAGCGAAGTGGCTGACTTGACCTCGATGTAGGCTCCAAAATCTTTAGTTCACCACCTTCAATATGGCTTCTGCAGCGCTTCCTCCCTCTATCATTACAGCTACGCTAGGAAGGCTCAGGCCTTTACCACCGGACAGGTACATCATGACCTTGGGTCAAGGCAGCGATCAGTTCCTCGGTACTCCCAACGGTTACAGCGCTACGTATCTGCCACTCAGGCTGTTCCAAGCTATCGGCGCAGGTCGGGGCCTTGTCAAGAAGATCACATGGGCCTCGTATGGCAGCAGACCCGAGTCTTGGTTCTTCGTCTGGGAGCCTGAAGACGGCACAACGCACTTCATGGTCGGACCTGATGTCCCATCAGCGCTCAAGTCTTTCATCCAGACCATCCAGGATACCG